CTCACCTCCTCCCTCTCTCCTCTCTGTTTCTCGCTCTATCTCTGAGGAAATAAATAAAAACGCTACTGAAACACACACACACACACACACACACACACACACACACACACACACACAGACACAGAAGAATGTTTAGTTTTACTGTGGTGCCCCCTAGTGTTGGATAAAATAAGACTCACTTTCTATATTTGCTCATATCTAGACCACAGAAGTAAAGCAAACATTTTGTACATTTTTCCTGCATTTTCTTTAGCATGAAATGGAATTAAGTGTGTTCTCCTTGCACAATTCAGAAGATCCTTTGTGACGGGCCGCTACCTAGATTTCCACCTTCATCCTTCACCACTCTTTTTTTTCTCTTTCCCCTAAGAACTCTCAACTTCAGTCATTCTGAAACACTTGCTCTTAATGCTTAGAAAGCTTTCTGCCCCCTACCCATCTACCCCATCCCTCTGGTCAATGAAAGAAGTTCTACTCTTTCCACCATCAGCTGAAGCATTACCTCTTCCCCCAGGTTTTCGGCATTTTGTTTTCTTTTGTTTTGCTGTGCTCCAGAAGACATAGGCAGTCCTCCTCCCTTCTCTCATTTTCTCATTGGCCCTTTAGCATGTTTCTACAAGTTTATCCCCAGTGGCCCCCACTGGGCATCTTGACTGTAAGTTCAAAGAGTTTAAAATTTTCTCCAGTGCTTGTTTGTTTCTCTGATGCCTTAGATAGTACCTGGCAAGTAAACACTCAAAGGCATGAATTAGAAAAAGGATGCTTTGGTGGATAAGAAGAACACTAATTTAGGAATTAAGAGTTTTTTGGTTAATTACTAATTAGGTAGTCACTGGAAACCCTCTCTGGGTTTCTGTTTTCTTATCTAGAAACAAACTATGACTAATTCCTACTCAAAACTCCAATAACTCCGTATGTTTTCATAACTATCTCCTTAAAGAGACTCAAAATAATTTTATAAACAGCTTATTCAATTGTATTAGAAACTATTTTATTTGTATGTGTACCATTAAAAAAGGAATTTCAAAAAAAATGTGTTAAATCACATGGAGACATTTAAATTGCACTTATCTGAGACAAGATTTTTTTCAGGCAAACTCTTCTTTCTGTTCCTAAATGATACGAAGAAAAGTACGCTTCACAGCCTGAAACTTCATCAAGAAACTGAGTTCTAATTCTGGCTGTCACTTTCTAAGTACCTCCACTTCTGTTTTTCCCAGCAAGAAAAAAAAATGATAAGAATATAAACCTTTAACAGTGGGATTTGCTGAAGAATTTAATTTTCACTAAAAACCTCACACCTATAAAGGGCTACGATCTTAGAAGAATCAGACTTCAAAGGCCCTGGGATAGAGGAATAATAATTTACAAAAGCTTCTCACTATATGAGCCAGATTCTTTCTGCCATTGTTCCTCACTAGAAGTTCCAGATCAGACTGGAGGTCTTAGACTTTAACTAGTAACCCCAATACAACATCCAAACAGTGCATATTGGATTTGGTGGCAGAAGCACTCAAGTTTCTGTTTCATTTTTGCTTTTTATTTTTTGCTGTAGGACATTTGAGCTCCGCAGGAGCAGAGAGAAAAGGAGAGAAGGAAAGTGAAAAATCACCTCCTAACGGAGATAGCCACACTGCAATCCCTTCTTCTCCAGTTTCCTCTAAGGATTTTGAGCATGAATGCACACATGCCCAGCATGATTTTCAAACTGCAGATCTGGGACCCAAACTGTGCAGTTGGCCATGTGGGATTCAGCTGCCTTAACCACCACACCACCTGACTAGCCCTTAAAAGCACTCAGTTATGTAGCTTGTGTCCTATATATTCTTCCAGGGCATTTACTTCTTTCCCCTTACTAAACAAGGTATTTTGCTAATCCAGAATAGTTTATTTAGATATACACAAAGTATATTATTCAAATACAGAAAACTAAATATAAAGTATATGTATATGCAAATTAGATTTTCCCTAGTCCTAGGGACCAGGGAATTTGTAGGCTTACCCAATCCTCACATTCATTTATGAATATATAGACTACAAACCCATGGAATATTGATCTGGAAGAGAGTGTACAGCCATCCAATCCAACTGGGGCTGGGGCAGAGGGGCGGGGGGGATCAGGTCCCAAAGAGGAAAGTGATTCATATGAGGTATGAGTAAGCTATATCTATTTTCTGGCATCTCAAAAACAAAACTTCTGGGGACCAGCAGTTTAGCATAATGGCTATGTCGCTGGACTCCCATGTAGTCGATCGCAGTTCGAGCCCAGACCCAGTGGCTTAAACTCACGTCGATATGTGTGTGTGTGTGTGCATGCCCAAGATCCCAAGAGGAGATTGGAGGAGAAGGGATTGCGGCGTGGCCATTCCCTCTGAGGGGTGATTTCTCGCTTTCTGTCTCTATGTCTCTCTCTGTCTTCCTGGTGAGCGCGGGCGCCCTGTAACAAAAACCTCTCCAAAAAAAAAAACTTCTGCTTTCCATTTGTGTGAATAAAAACTTAACCCAGTGGTGAAAAAACAAAAGTTACTAAAGTAAACTTGATTTAAATGGAAGGTCGACAGCCAAGTGGAGTTTAATAACCCTATCTGTATTTACAGAGCAATCCACGTAAGCAATTCCTTTATAAAGCTAAAAATTAAATCTAAGGAACATGGAAAAAGACATGATTATTTTCCAAATACCTTTATCCAACAACAGAAGAAACTCAATTTAATTGGGTTAATAATGAGTATCTCAGCTCTATTTCACCTCATTGTGATATTATTTCTCATAAAAGTATAGGTTTAAATTGTATCACCACTGCCACTACCTACCCTAACCTCCCCATCAAAACCCCAAACTTTGTTGTATATGAGTTTTAAAACGCTAGCAGCTACTCTACAAACTTGTCTCTCGGTCTCTCTTTTTCAGACTCTGCCTTTCTCATTCTCTCTCTCTCTCTCTTACACACACACATACACACACATGCACACACATGCATGCTGCCACCAACACCATTTGATCAGATTCCAGGGAAAACATACCTAGTTCACCTCTGCTAGCCTTCCCGTAATCAAGTATGTGACATCAAATATAAGAACGCACAGTGTTGCCCCAGAATAAATTACGTTAACTTAAAACAGGCTAGCAAGAAAGAAGAAAAGCACTTAAAGTAAATTTCAAGCAAGGAATTTCAAATATCCAAGCAAAAGAACATCCCTGTATTCAGAGTACATGGGAGCATGTTCTTCGAATAAATAGCTCAAACATACCTGCTATGTCCTTGCTTCCATTCTGCGCCACAACTACAGAAATCTAATTCTCCCCTAGAAAACAGTTCTGAAACCACCTCTCAGCTTTCCTTCTCAGCTCTGCCACAGAGGTGCTGGGGCTTGCCAGAAAAGACCCTTCTTCTTCACAAGGGCCCCGGAATATTGACAGTCCAGCGTAGCCCCAGCTACCAGCCAGGTTTACATCTGCGTTTCACCTTTTTTCTGTCTCCTGATCAGAGCCTTCATGCAATTGGTTAGCCGTGATGGAGACATGTATACTCTCCTTTTATCGTCCCACAGAACAAGGAAATATGTAACACTGTGGTTATTTGAAAAAAAAAAAAAAAAACTCTTGGGGCTCCCAGATCTGGCGAATACACTCTGCCGTGCTATTTTGGGTTCCTGTCTGTTTTCTTCTCGGAAGATTCCGGTCGGTGTTGGGGCCATCCTGCCATGGACACATTACTCTGCCCCCACACCTTCTCTTCAGTCGCCTACTTTAATTTCACCCAAAGGCTTCAGTACAGAGAAATAAATGCTTGGTGCAGTGAGTAGAGGACGGGTGTGCTCTGTGCTGACTCGTCTGCAGACCTGAGCATGACACTAGCTATGCTTCTGGGCTCTGGGTACGCAAGCACTCCGGGGTACAGCGATCACAACCACATGCACTTCCACCAGCGGTCATGCACCAAAACCCCCTACTTCCTGTTGGTAGAGACAAGCCCAGGCATCTGCTGGAGTCCCATCTTATCCTGGTTTAATGTGAGGTGGCCAGTCTCTGACATCACCTTCAGAAATAAAAATTCCTGTTCTCTGACCTTTACTGGGGGAGACTTTTCTAACCCAAATGACCAGCTAAGAAACAAGAGTAATCATACTTGCCCGACAAAGAAACACAGGAGTATAGATATATTTTCAGTGCCTATTTCCTGCGGTGAAGAATTTCCTTAAAGACCTAGTGATGTTTGTATGCCTGAATGAGTAAGTTGACTACATATATATATATATATATATATATATATGTATGTGTGTATATATATATATATATGTATATATGAAGAGGAAATAGGGGACAAGATTAAGAAGAAGGAAAAAAAGGAAAAAATAGCTTAATTAAGTGGGAAAAATTGTGTAGAAGATTATCTACACATGATATATGTTGAGTAAAGTAGGAAAAAGACAAGGTGATGTGATTAGTAGAGATAGACCATGAGAAACAATATCTAATTAAATCATTGTAGTAAATGTGTAGAAATATTGGCACATACACGTGCACATACTCTTAAGCTGCAAGGAGATTGATCTAAAAGAACTTAATATTGGTACCTTCAGCACTCTTTAAAAAGCAAATCTTCTGAGTGTCTACTGAGTTTATAAATATAATAGGAAAGTGGAATTGGTTTCTTATTTCCATTCTATATTGATTTCCTGATTGGACATATGGGGTAGACCCATTATATCAATGACTCAAAGTTTCATGCAGGAATACCAGGATTGCAAAGAAAATGAAAGAAAATCTTTTAGCAGTGTCCATGCCTGACCACCACTGTGTCCTACCACTGTCACTGTTAAAAAGAAGGAAGGAAGGAGAGACAGAAGAATGTTTGACCACACTTAACAATTGCTGTGGAGGGAAAAAAAATAAATAACACTTTCTGCATCCGATTATTTACAAGTGACTGTTTGCAGCTGTTGCAGCCACAGTCCGTATGAGCTGGAGGAGAAAAAGCACACTAAGATGCATCTTACCTGAAGAGCATGGATGTGCAGGCAGACGTAGATGAGGCACAGGACCAGCCCTAGTCCCTGGGCCACGGACACCACCAGCAATAGCTTGGTCTTCCCGAATCTTGGCCTTGGTGCCCTTCCCATATTCTCATCCAGGGGTTGGACCCCTTCCATCTTCACAATCTGGATGCGGGGAAGACAAAGATATGGCAAAAGGGAATCTTGGGGAAGACTCACGTCTTCCCCCACAAAGGAGGAGATGAAGACAACAAAACTTATAAACCAGAAAATAGACAAAGGTCCCCAGGACAAGAGATAAAAGGCGATTGAAAGAGCAGAGCGGACTCTCTCAGTTTTAACGCTGCAGCATTTGCAGGCAGGCGGGGGAACTTCTTTGTGACTAATCTGAATTTCCCCTTTACTTTCTTTCTTTTTTTTTTCCTCTGGGCTAACAGGGAGTTGTTTTTGTGGCATTCCAGTTCTGATTTGAGTGACTGTGAAGTGACAGTCATAAACGTGTGCTATTTTCTTAATTTCTCATTGCACCAGTAACCAAATTGTGGGTCACTTGATAAAGATAAAAATCATCATTCGTTGAGGTTTAGTAGGGTTCACATATTCCTTCCTCAAGGTATCTTAAACTATAGAAAAGATTCGAGGAAAATGTGGACCTGAGATTCTCAACTGCACTTTTACTTTGTAACTAAGCATTAAGTCCATTTTACAGATTGAGAAATCAAGTACACATAGATAATTCTTGAATGAAAATGCAAAAGAAGAAAATAAGATGGTGGGTCATGTAGAAATAGAGTGACATCATTTAATTACAGTTCATTCTATTGAAAGTATTCGTTAGAACCAGCAGATGGTGTAAAGGTTATTTTGCTGGACTCCCATGTAGTTGACTATGGTTCGAGTCCTGGATCCAGTGGCTTAAACTCATGCTGGGTGCATGTGCATGTATGCCCAAGACCCCACGAGGAGAATGAAGGAGAAGGTATTATGGCCTGGCCATCCCCCTTGGGGGGTGATTTCTCAATTTCTCTCTCTTTGTCTCTCTCTGTCTCTCTGGTGAGTGTACATACCCTGTAGCAAAAATTTCTCTAAAAAAAAAGTATTTTTTGAGCATCTACTATGTATCAGACACTATATTAGGTGGTCTTGGACTCTTTTTCACATTTAACATTCTGAGGGTTGCACAATAATTTTCTGCATACCAGAAAAGAATCAGAAAAGTATCCTGGCTTTTCTCCTTCTCTCCATTTTACATTCTCCCCATACATAATTTTTGCAAGAATGAACAAACGAATAGATTTGAGTAAGCCTAGATGCTCCTTTCTTTGAAGGCATGTCTGGAATCCAAACTTAGACAGTACTCAACTTACTACAGAAATAAACAACAGACTAAAATAAAATATCAAATCATTCATAATGTCATGTTCAAGTCAGCGAAGATGTACTAAGTATATAGTATCAGCCCAGTTCTGAACTAGACAGCATATGGGTGCTAGGGACTGAGGGGAGAGCTACAAGACAGATTTCTGTATAGGCAAGTAAGTTTCTGTAAGCTTCACAGGAGGCACTTGACGGATATTTCAAGAAAGAAGTGTGGCAATAAAATGTAGTTCAACTCAGTACAATGCAATAAAAAAGGAGGGATATCAGCAATATCAGATTTACATGCATCTTCATTTCATAGAAAATGGATATGAAGCATATTCAAATGAGAAATGGTTTGTGGAAAATAGAAGATACACTTTCACGGTTTATTTCCTTTTAGGAGAGAGAGACAGAGAAAGAGAAAAAGGAAAGAGAAAGATACCTCCGACAGGGTGTTCATATGCAACCCACTCTCCCCCTGCCTCAACCAGCCCAGATCATGGGCATGTGTGAGCCCAGCGTATACATAGAGACCTCAGGTCTCAACCTGAATTCTTCCTATGTGGGTCCAGGATCACAGAGCCTAGCATTACCACTGTCCCACTGCTGGCAGTCCTAATTTATTATTTCACTGATTATAAATTAAATATGAATCAATACTTTCGATGCAATAATTATGCCTTGCAGTTAGAGAATATATTGGATTTGACAAGGTCAGGTTTGGGGGCCAGTGGGTGGTGTGGAGATTAAGGCACTGGAGCCCATATGACTGGCTGCACTGTTCGAATACTGGACCCAGCAGCTAGGAAATTATGCTCAGCGCATGTGTGTGCGTGTCCAAAATCCCGAGAGGAGACTGGAGGAGAGGGAGTTGTGACATGGCCATCCCCTCCCCCAGAGAGGGTGATTTCTCACTTTCTCTCTGTGTCTCTCGGGCCCGCTGACATGTCCTACAGCAAAAACTGAAAAGAACCAAAAAAAAGTTCAAGTTGTATATTAAAGACAGTGTAACTAAGGCACTTAGTACATAGTTTATGCCAAAAATTAGAAATTGAGTTCAAACGAAAGTGATTTGTAATAGTTATTCCCATGAGCAAAATACGTGTAACATACAGGATGTGGAGAGGAAAAAAAAAAAACGAAAAAGAGAAAAAGAAAGAAAAATTAGTGTGTAAAGGCCAATTCTTGGGTAATAGTTCATAGTCATATATAAACATTTTTAAATGTCTTAAATACTATTGGAAATTAGAGACAAGACAAAAAAGAAATGAAGTTATTCATGCTAAAAATCATTTTAAAATATTTTTAAAGGACTGTCAGAAGGATGAGAAAGTCACTCCAACTGAGCACAATGGGAATGCAGGGTGGGATCAGGATGCCCACAGGAAAAAATTTCCAGGATGTTCTGTGCCAGCCAAGGGATTCCCAGCTCTGCATATAGCTCTCCCAACCCTTCGTCCCAGGCCAGGAAATTTCCTCCTATAGGAGAGGGCACGTTTAACCTCCTACACAAGGGTGGTCTGCTTCCTGAGCCCTACACAAAGGCTCCTTTTTTTTTTTTTTTTTTTAGCATTCCAAAGGCAAAAATTGCAGGTTTTATTGACTGAGAAAATAAAGGGGAACAGTGGTGGTATAGGTTTCAATTCCAGCTAACAGAATAGTGGCTAACAGGAAAATAATAAACTCAATAAGTATTCTGGACATGTTCAATTATAATATTCACGTAGTGGGTTTTATTGGAAATGTGGCTCTAGACTGACAGAAGTTACGTTTAGGAGTCATCCACAAACTGGCTTGGGAGGGCAAGACAATCGTGCGATTGTTGAGACAGCTGGATCCCGCATGGCCAACTGTGTGGTCCATGTTCCTGATAGCAGTTTGGGCACATGTCTGAGCATGCCAAAATCCACAGCCACACCCTCTAGAGGTGCATTCTCATCCTCTCTCTCTCTCTCTCTCTGTCTCTGGCAAGTACACATGCCCCTTAGCAAATTAAATAAATAAATAAATAAATTTGGGCTTGTGGAACAAATTAAAGAATATCTTGAGAAGTGCATAGACAATAATTTTAAGGGGGCTGAGGAGAAGAACCAGTATTTAGAAGATAACTGTGAAGAAAAATGCCCTCCTGCCTTCATGAGTGCACATGGCCTTTGACAAATTAAAAGAAAAATAAAAGATGTGGAATAGTGTTAAGAGACTTTTTTTTTTTTTTTTGCCTGAAATGATAAGATTGGACCTGGGAGGTGATGTAGTGCTTAGGGGCACTGGATTCCCACATGGTCGACTGCAGTTCAAGTCCCAGACACCTGGCAGCTTTCTTTCTCTCTCTCTCTCTCTCTCTCTCTCTCTCTCTATCTCTCAGTCTGTCCCTCTCTGGTCAAGTTAAAATAAATAAATAAATAAACAAACAAACCAAGTTAAATAAAAAATAATTCTTTTAAAAAAGTATAACATTACATGTGTGTACAGTCAGATAACATACTTAAATCCCTTTGTCTCTATCTTACCTTTTTTGGCTGAATTTAGCCAAAGTTTCCTTTTCTAATTCATAAATCCTGAGAGGGATTCTAATTCACACAAAGGCAGCCTAAGCTAGGGCCACCCTTGGGTTTGCAACAATTTAAGTGAGAAATAATAATGCCCTAAACTAAAGCAGAGAAGTTTTCTTGTTGTTGTTTGTTTATGTGTTTTTTTTTTAAATAAAAGAAGATAGTGTCTTTTCACTCATCAAACACTGTGAGGCATAATTTGTGCCAACCTCTGAGCACACACAGAGAGCCCTGTCTAAGCTCTGCCGTGGGACAAGTGATAGAGAAATGTGACAAAAAGACAAAAGCCTGTTTTGCCTCTGCCTTATCAAATCACGTTTGATTCTAATGTCACTGTCCTTGTCAGTGTGTTTGCCACTCCAGAATTGGCTTTGATGCTTCCTTGCCTCCTGTCAACCTCTATAGGGCTAACCTTGTGATGCAGCTCATACTTTCCCTCCTCTTTGCCCTTACTGCTTCTAATCCAAGTCCTGAGTTCTCCTTACTTGAGCTCATGAATTAAACTCCCAACTGTTCTCCTCCACTTCCATTCTCTCTGATTTCCAATCCGTTCTGCTTTGATGAGCTTGTTAAACGCAGTGGAACGAGTTTATTCCCTCCTATTCAAGGGGTTCCATCATATAGAGGGCAAAGTTGAAATTGTTTAGCTTGACATTTAAGTCACTTCAGAATGGAGCTTAGGTTTCTTCTCCAAACTTACCTCCATTTCCTGATTATTTCCTTTTTGGAGAGGTTTTTGCTATAAAGGGCGTGTGCGCTTGCCAGAAAGAGACAGACAGAAAGCAAGAAATCACTCCCCGGGAGGATGGTCACGCTGTGTTTATAAAAGATTTACCACAGCCAGATTTGTGAAATGACCATTCCCTAAATAACCACTTAAAATCTCTTTCACAATTACATTTCTTTTTTTTTTTTTTTTGAGAGTTTTTTGCTATAGGGTGCGTGCGCTCACCAGAAAGACAGAGAGAGACAAAGAGATAGAAAGTGAGAAATCACCCCCTGTCAGGGAGGGATGGCCTGCCGCAATTCCTCCTCCTCTGTTCTCCTCTAGGAATCTTGGCACGCACTGCACGCATATGCACCCAGCGTGAGTTAGAGGTCTTGCTTAAGATGTCTTTGCCTACCCCAATGTCTCCCAGAGTTTCCCCAGTGTTTTCCACCATTAGTTTTATAATCTGTGATCTTGGGTTTAGATCTTTGATTCACTTTGAGTTGATTTTTGTTAATGGTGACAGATAGGGGTTCAGATTC